TTATGTGCAAAATGTTGATGTATGTTATATTTTTCGATCAACTCCTACCGCCCTGTTTTCCTTATAATAACAACAACAACAACAAAAACTCAAAAAACGCGTAGTGTTTGTAGAAAAGCACGAGTTTCTACATCATCATCATCATATTATTATGGATGCCGTTATTATTTTATTGTTGATGATGATGATGATGATGATGATGTAGCAAAGAGAAGAAAAAAATCTAAAAGTAAGAAAAAAAGCAAGAGAAAGTAAATTTTTTTTACAACGACAACCATGATGATGATGATGATGAAAAAGTAAAAGAGCTAGATCAACAAGTGTGTGTGGAAAAGAGATATACAACAAACGAACACGCCAACAACAACAACAACAACAACAACAAGATACAATATTGGCGCCCAATTGACTTTTTTAGCCAAACATTTTCTTTTTCATTTTCATTTTCTTGCTAAAGAAAAAGAAGAAAAAAATAACGATAAAGATGTTGCCGTAGTTTGTTTGTCGTTTCGTTCGTTTGTTCGTACGTTTTTTTCGTCGTCGTCTTCGTTGTTTTTGCCATCGTCATCGTTGTTGTTGTTGTTGTTGTTGCTGTTGATGAATTCGTTTCAAAAATTGATGATCCAAATTTTTTTCACTTTTCGTTCATAAATTTATCCATGTTGTTGTTCGAAGCCATGACCAAAAAAAATGATGAATGAATAAGATTTGTGTGTGTGTACGTGTTTCGGTTCGGTGATTCGGTGGATTATAAACCCCCGAGGATTATTCCAAAGGGTTATTTTTTCGACTATTTATTGTGATTCACCAAAAATTGTTCATGTCAACCAAAACAACATTAATTTCATCTTGAATCCTGTGATAAGTTTGTTTCGTAAATATGATGATGATGATGGTGATTGATCATAATAATGTATAATCGATACATTCAGATCACCAGTAACAACAACAACAGAAACGATGATAATTAAATGACAAAAAAATGATCTGGTCATTCTAACAATGTGATTGATTGTACATATCGACATCATTCCATCGTCATCATCATCATCATCATCATCATCAACATTTCCTCATCGTCATAATGTGAAAAAAAACTCGTGATTCAAACATCACGAGAATATTCTCCGTTATTTTTCTATACTCACCACTGACCCATCAACACACCCACACACATACACATTTTGAAAGTTTGATGGTAGGTGGTCATAATGTGTGATTTTGTCTGAAGGACAACTCATCATTCATTCATTCATTTGAATGTTCAATAAGTGAAATAAAAAAAAATTTATTGAAAAATTTTTTGTGGTAAAAAATTGAAAGAAATTCACTCGTCGAGCAGCAACAGCAGGTAACTGAACGTGAAAGTAGGAAATGTGATACTTCCTACTCTATACTCTTTTTTTCATAAACGATAAAAAATCATGAGAAAAAAAAATGAATGAATGATAATCATTTTGTCTTTTGGCATCCAGTGCATTTCATCAATCTGTTCATCAAAATGGTGTATTGGATTTTTTTTTGTTGCTTGAAAAATTGATTCGTTTCTTCTCATTCATCGTCGTCGATGATGATGATAATGATGATGGTAGGATGTTTTCGTGTGTGTGTGTGTGTGTTTGTAATATTATCCGTTTAATAACATTTTCAATCAACAACAACAACAAAATGAAAGTATCAATCAAAAAATGAAAAAAAAGTATGACAACAACAGAAAATTGCGATTCAATCAATTGAGATGATGATGATGATTTGCATTTTGTTGCCATTTACAATGTCCACTCTTTTTTTCTCTGTCTTTGTGGTGGTGTGGATATTTTTTCTCACCATTAAAATTAATTCATGCGTGTCGGTCAATGATCATGTATCATTGTTAAAGATTGAATTTTGATTTGCAAACGAGAATTCAAATCCAGATCCGGTAATCTTGTAAATGGATGTGTAGTTGTTGTCGATGTCCATGAAATTTTCGTTTCTATTTTCCCGGATAAAAAATCAAGATCGAATAGAATATGCAGAAAAAACGAAATTTTTTTTTGTCAATTTACTTTCCAACCATCCATATATGGTGATTGATAATCACATATTTTACAAAAACAAACAAACAAACAAACAAACAAAAACTAGGAACTTGTCATCGTCGTCTTTTTTTTCGTTTGGAATAAAAAGTTAAAAATTAATTTTTTTCCGTCCTCATTTTTGCTCGTTTGGGTCGCACCCAACGTGAAAAAAAAGAAATTTTTATCTTTTCTTTGAGAAATTCGTCATAAAAAATACGTGGACGATTATAAAAAAAAGACAAACTTTAATAAATATAAGGATGAGGATTTTGTTTTTGCAAATCCAAAAACAGAAATAAAAATCTCTGTTTGGTCCTTTTTTGAAGATTCGTATCATCATCATTCGATGTTTTTTTGCTGATTTATTCGTGATTACTGGACGACATAAAACAAATGCTGAGATGATGATGATGATGATGAGGCGTGATAATCATCTTAACACAATGAAAATGAAACTTATACTTTTGAAAATGTTTCGATAATTTTCACTTGTTCGTGAGATATACTCGATATTGATCTAAATGTGTGTGTGTGTGCAACGTACACATTCGGAAAATTCCATAAGGTTGTGATTTTTGAAATTTTTTTCCATAATTCTTATTGAAATTTTATAAACTTTTTTTGTTATTCGTAAATAAAAAATCGTGAATAATGTTTGTAGCACGTCACGTATTTTTTGTTTTTTTCTTATTAGAATCAAATTTGATCCAGGATTTATAATCAAATGATTGTGGTCTTGAAGTTTTTTTTCGTTTGAATCAGACATCATTTCTTTTAAAACATCCTGCTTAATGTTGTTGAAAGTAATCATCATGAATCATACAAATTGTCCATTGGAAAAGATGTAAACTTTCCAAAGACAACAACAGAGAAAAAAGATGAATCGATTGACGCGATGATAAATATAACGATAATCTTGTGAGGATCTCTCTCAGTGTGCGTTTAATTGTCAAAAAACAACAATAGCAACTGAAAAAACAAAAAGGACGTTTGATTTATATAAAAAAAAAATTATAAAAAACCCTGGTTGATGAAATTAATCATTGTGATTGTTTTGACCAACAAAGATTATGATGATGAAAGCGATAATTAATAATATATGTGTGTGTGTGTGTGTGTCAGTTTATAATTATATAAAGAATGATTATTGCATAATTCTCTTGTTTTTTTTTATAAATTCACAATTCATAGTTGTTGTCCTGTTCGGCTAGGTATAGAAATTTTTTCTACTTTTTCTATGACACATTTTCGTGTTTGAAAATAAAAGTTTTTTTGCTATATGTTTCCTAATCATAATAATAATAAGCTTGACATTTTTTTTTCTTTTGTCATCATCATTGAATTATTCATTTGAATTGAATCATTTGTTGGTCATTTTTCTGTGTGTGTTTGTGTTTGTTTGTTTGTCTGTTGTTGTTTTCAAATCTCGTGAATGAAAACAACGACAACAACATGCATGAGATATAGCCTCAACCTCATTTCTTATCTGTTTTTTTTACACAATTATATATTTGTGTGTCTATTTTGAATGAAACTGAATGTTCTATCTATCTGTTTGAATTTAGTAAATGAAAAAAAAACATCAAAAATTAATTGTTTAGTTCGAATATGTATGGATTATAATAATCAAACAACACAAGAGACAATAGATTTAACACTTTTTTTCTGTTTTTGGCGCCCAAGTGCGATTCCTGTCATAATAAAAAATAAATAAATTCAAGTTCTTAAGGGCGATGAAAACAAAATGAAAAAATGCATTGTGTTTATTCATCAACATGAATATAAAACAATCATTGTATTTGGTATTGAATTCTTCTGTCGTGTTCTATATATCGTCTCATGGCCATTTTCGTTTTGTTACATGCATACATTCATTCATTCAGTCATAACTGGCAAGGATATTGAAGTTGTTTTTTTCTTTTATATTTGCAAAAAAAATTCATTGATTGACCATTGTTTCATGTTATCACATCATCAAGATTATAACGAAATGTCCAGATCTGTTTTCAATGACGGATGTATGTATTATGATGATGATAATGATTATCAATAGACATGTATCAATTGATCGGATCAAATAGATACATATGGGTTGAAAGAAAATTTTTTTTGATTGAAAAAAAGAGAGAAATGTATCGAATGACAATAACCGAACCGATTATTTTCATGATCTCGAATAACACAAACTAATCTATGACGAGAAATCTTGCTCGATTTACAGGCAATTTTTTCGTTACTTTTCCAATATCTGTTGTTTGACTTTCTTCACAACGCACGTTCTACAATGATCTACATGGTCAATATCTTATGAAATGACTTATGAGACACTACTACAGGTGTTACACAGACATGATACGAGATCATTTTTTGGATCAATCAAAACAAATCATATGGCCGACAACGAAATTCGTTAATTTCAACTTAAGAAACTTGTTCAGCTCGGTTTGTTGTTGTTATTTCTTCTTCGCTTCAATTCGTTTTCCTGTGTGTGTGTGTGTGTGTGTCAAATCATTGACGCGTGTACCATTTGTGATTTCGAAAACGTTATTTTTTTGCCAAGAAAAAAAATGAAATATAACGACAACTTCCCGTGTGTAATATATAGATGTATAAATATTTTTTTTTTGTACACGGGTTATTGTCAAAAGGTGAAATTGAAAATGATTGGAATAAATAAGATTTTCTCTCACTTTCTGACGTTTGGTGTAATTGAAAAAAGTTAATGTTTTTATTTAAAAAAATGTCAATTTTTTTTCATTGCCAACCTGTGTTATCGTTGGCCATTTCTTAGTAATTTAGTTTTGGAATTTGAAATAAATAATGTAATGGTATCCATGAGTGTGTTTGTGTGTGTGTGTGTGTCATATTTAGTATTTTTTTCTTATTAATAATCCAAGTCAAATTAACTTTGTGTGTTTTTTATTTCATTTGAATAAATAGTTTCTACACATTACACATTTCGGTCCAACATTGATCAAATTTCTCATTTGAATAAATGATAAAATAGTGAACAGATCGAAAAATTCTTGGAAAAATCAATTTGAATTTACCAAAAAAAAAAAAAAAAAAATTCGAACCAATCAATCAATTAATCTTTCATCACCATCATCACATTCATCGTGTTCTTTTCATATATATAACCATCGTGTGATCTTTTTTCTCATTAAATTCTGTCATGTTTGAATCTTATTTAATTTCAACGAAAAAAATTCAATCATCACCGATTACCACATCATCACTGTTATCAATAAATGAAAGACAACGACGACGACGACGACGATTTAATTATCGATTACAACAACAGGCGAATATTAATTGCCATCACTACCAATACCACCATCAACATTATCACGACCACACAGCAACAAAGTGGACATCATAATGATGATAAGAATGTGGATGAATATCGACAACAACAAACCACCAACAACAATTTATTCATTAATAAACAAAACATTAATCATACTGATAATAATGATCGATTATCATCGATTATTATTACAACGAATAATTGTAAACAACAACAAAAACAAAAAATGGCCACCCAAATTCACAATAATGATGATAAAACAACGAAAAGAAAATCAGCATTGTCAGCGGCAGCATCACCGCCATCAATATCAACAACGAATCGAAATGAAAAGTGGATCAAATGCAATCATACAGCAACAATTTATTTTAGTTTCCTAGTCTTTCATCTATTATTAACTACATCATCCATTTTTTGTTTAACAATTTTAGATAAACAAACCGATTCTATTGCCAAGTATCCCGTAAGTTTTTTTTGAAAAAAAATCTTGAACATTTTTCAAGAGAAATGAAGAAAAAAATAAGTCATTCATAATTCAAAATTCACAATTGCCTTAATTCTGAATAAATTTCCATTGTACGCGTGTGTGTGGACAACATGTTGACAACAAAATTACACACACATGTCATCAATCAATAGATCATTTATCAATTTTTTTTTTTTTTTTGGGCGTCATTGTTGTATAATAGTTTTAGATTAATGATGATTGAAACATTGATGGATGCACACAGCACAAGCCCATTGTTTTTGTTAAGATTAAAATAATAATAAAAAAATTGAAATTCCAATCAGCATTCGACCCAGAAAAACATGAAACAATATCTGTATAAACATTTTAATCATATGATGATTAAAATGTTGTTTGTCTCGTATAAAGGTCAAAAAAAAAAATTAGATTAGACTGTAGAATAATAGATTTTCATGTCGAAAAAATCTATTAATCGCGAGGCCTCTTATTATTCAGAGGCCCATATGTGAATATCAATCATTTTATTATATTCAATATATTATGGGCGAATAGAAATAAAATTGAAAAAAAAATTCTGACAAACAAATAAAAAGAAAACAAAATTCGGGTGGAACTACAAGTTCGCGCGTAAATTGTAATTAAAATTTGAATTTTTTTGAAAAAAAACAGCGATGTGTTTGCCATCTGTCGATGAATATTTAAAATAAATCTTTTTTTTCATCAACTTTAAAATTTAGATTCATAAACACATGTCCAAACAAGATCTCCTTTCGGTGTTTTATGTTGATTCTCATGATAAAGGTGAATTTTGATTTTATTTTTTGTTTTTATTGGAAATTTAATCTAGTTTTTTCTTTGTCAATTTAGTGCCCGAATATGAACTATCCAGTGTCAGGCTGTTGACCAAACGATCAATACAAAATGACGATGCAATAAATAATAATAATGATGACGAACAACCACGACATGAAGTATATTTAAAAGCATTTGGACGTAAAATGCGTCTAAAATTACGTGATAATAATGATTTCAATGAAAGAGTTAAAGATATGAAAGTAATTATTGCTGAAACATCACGAACAACTGGTAAATTACAATATGTTGAAGATTTAACAACCGCTGTAAGTTCATTTATTAATTGATTGAATCCATCCATTCATAATCATTGTTTTTTTGATGGTCAATGTGAATAACGAAATGATTTTTCTTTCATTTATGCAAAACATTTGATTGATCAAAAGGACACGCAAAATATTGGCACAAGTTATCATGATAAGGATAATATGGCTGCCATTTTTCTTGATCATGATTCTAGGGGCAAAGTACGATTGGTAAGTTGTTTGATTTTGTTTTTTGAATAAATTAATTTCTAATTAATTCAACTTTTTTTATTTTCCTCTTCTGAAAAAAATCAATTAATTTATTCGACCTCAAATGAATGAATTAATACTAATCATCATCAATGTGACCGCCATTCAAACATGAAATTTTGAAATTTTCTTTGATTAAAGCATGGAACGATTGGCAACGATCTAGTGATAAAACCGATCCCAGAAACAATTGATACAAATAATCATCCATCATTGAATGAAGTGGATACTACCATGATGGATAATGTTATCGATCCGGATGACGATGAAATGTTTTTGAATGATGATGATTTTAAACAATTTAAACGACAACAACATATGAATCATCAAAATCAGCTCAAGAATGATGATGGTATTCATATCAAACAAACGGCCAATTCAACTGTACAAAAATCATTTGATGATGATGGAACAAATGAAAATATCCATGTTATTTATAAAAGAAAATTTCACCAACATTATCAGCCAACTGATTTTGGTAAGTTTCTGTGTTAAATCATCGACATTTCACATTCATTTTAATTTCAATAGCCGAGTTGGAACAAGGTGATAAAACCACAACAGCCGCAGATATATTATCACCGCAATGGTTAGGAAGTTTTAATGAAACAATAATGAAACGTACGGCACGTCGAAAAAGACAAGCACCCGGTACTGTTTGGCCCGAAGTATTATTAGTTGTCGATTATGATTCCTTCATGTTACATGGTGCAACAAGTCGTGATGTGAAACGTTATTTTATTAGCTTCTGGAATGGTGTCGATCTTCGTTATAAATTATTGGCACATCCACAGATTCGTGTCAGTTTGGCCGGTATGATTGTTGCAAAGGTATAGAGAGATTTGTTTTTTCCGTATTGAATTGAAATTACTTATAACTAATTAATCATTTATAGGATCGAGATGCAACACCTTATTTGGAACGTAATCGTTTACGGCCACCAAATGCCGATGCAGTGGATGCTGCTGGTGCATTGACCGATATGGGAAAATATCTTTACCGAGAAGATCGTTTACCAACATATGATATGGCCGTTGTTATTACTAAATTAGATATGTGTCGTCGTCGTTATGAAGGTGGACGTTGTAATCGTGGTACAGCTGGATTTGCATATGTTGGTGGTGCTTGTGTTGTCAATAAACGTTTGGAAAAAGTGAATAGTGTTGCCATCATTGAAGATAGCGGTGGATATAGTGGCATTATTGTCGCTGCACATGAAGTTGGTCATTTGTAAGTTTATCTCAAGTGTTGTTTGATATTTATTTAAATCCAATTGATTGATTGATTGATGGATATGATGATGACGAATGAATGAATGACATGAACGATTTTTTGTTTACTTTTTGCTAAGAAAACTTTTCATATTTTCTTTTTCTTTTCATTACTGATCAAGACTTGGCTGTGTACATGATGGTTCACCACCACCAAGCTATCTAGGTGGTCCTGGTGCCACTCGTTGTCCATGGGAAGATGGTTTCATTATGAGCGATCTACGTCACACTGAACGTGGTTTCCGTTGGTCAACCTGTAGTGTTGAACAATTTAAACATTTTCTAAAGTTGGTTTTTTGATTTTTTTTATTGAAAAAATTCTTATTTAATCTCCTTTTTTTCTCTTTACTTCTAACCGATGATGATGTGTGGTATTTCGTTTGTTTTTGGTTAAAGTGGTGAAACGGCAACTTGTCTATACAATTTTCCGCATGAAAATCAATTATTACCAAGAGTGTTACCAGGATCAATGCTTTCATTGGATGAACAATGTAAAAGAGATCGAGGAACGAATGCTTGTTTTGTATGTTTATTTGTTGATAATAACCTTTTTATTTAATTCGATTTGATTTGATTTGATTTGATTTGATTTATCATTCTTTTTTGTCATTGAAAATCTTATAGAAAGATTCTCGTGTATGTGCACAATTGTTTTGTTTTGATAGTGCTTCCGGTTATTGTGTTTCATATCGTCCAGCAGCTGAAGGTTCATCCTGTGGTGATGGCCAGGTAATTGAATTGGTTAGCATTGAAAAAATAGCTCATCTAAATTGGTTATTTTTTTTATCTCTAAATAGATTTGTAGAAATGGTAAATGTTTAGCTGAAATGGAAAACATAATACCGGATTTTTCACATGTACAACAATCGATACGTCCAAAACCAGATAGATTATTATCACGTATTGATTCGGCACCACCATCATCACCACCAATGCATATACCTCCATTTCGACGTGGAAATTTACGATTTCCACGCCGTGATCCATTTTTTCATCATCATCATCATAATAATTTCTTTCCACATGCATCAGCATCTGAACATATTGATGTTATTGATGAATCAAATAGCCAACAGCATCAACATAGACATTAACGACAACAATGATGCAATTATGCCAAAAAAACTCTTTATTCCAATTGGATCAATCAATCAACGATTATTATTACGGTTTTTTCCATTATTGTTAATGTATAATTCTGCTGTTGTTTCGTTATACATATAGATTGCTATTTTATTAATTATTATCTACCTGGCCTGTGATACTATACAGAACAAAACAAAACAAAACAACCAATCATACAATCATACACGAAAATACAGATAGAAAGAAATTTGGAATTGTTCATTGAATCTGTAATTAGTCCAATTATAATTTAATCATCATCACTACCATCATAGCCAACACCATCACACACACACACACACACATACATACACTGTGATACAGTGCATAACATTTCACCACCAAAAAATTGTCATTTGCGTTATAAATATATCTCGGGGATTTCGGGGTTAGAACAAAACAAAAACATCACATGGTAAAAGGGACAACGACAATTACAAAACCAAATCAAAATATTAAAAGCCATCAATCAATCAATCAATTAATCGACCATCATCATTATATCGTGAATATTCTTCATTTTCATTCATTCATTCATTCAAATTCAATATTACATACACACACACAAACATAATCGGCTTGTAGATTTATTTAGTACCACACACATATACACACACACACATTTAGTAGTTGCGAAAGGATTGATTTTTTTCATTTCTTGTATCATACAATGTTATTATTTCATTTCATCTTTTCTGTAAAATTAACTATCCAATTTGATCCCACTTTTGATTAATTTGTAATGAGCAATTTTTTTTGATTGATTAATTTTTTTTATTGTTGTTGTTTATATTATATTATTATTATTATTATTGTAATTCTAGCGCTTTTGATTTGTAGCACTTTGCTGAAATTTTTCTGTATGTTTGGTTTTTTCAAAAAAAAAATTTGGATTTTTGTTTATTTCCTTTTTTTTTTTTTTGTGTCAAGTTTTCATTTATTATTCTTATTATTTTTTTTTTTTGATTCGCTCATGTAATAAATCATATATTCATCAATTTTCCGTTTTTTATGTCATTCAATTCACGTTGTTCGAAAGTCCAATGATCCAAAACATTGATAATAGAGCCAGATTGGACCAAATTCACGCTTTCAAGGATTACCAAAACGATTATTATGGTGATGATGATAATATCAATCTAAAATAAACCGAGTAAATAGCACAAAAAGAGAATTGAATGTGTGGGATTAATTTAATTTAATTAAAATTCAAATTTTTTTTCTGCTTACATAAAATTTGCAATTATGTAATTGAAGAGGATCAGAAATTGTTTTTTTTATTCTTTTCAATAGAAAAAACCCATAATGGGCTTATTATTATTATGATTGAATTAATTAGGAATGAATGAACCATCATCATCATATTAAGGCATGCATGCATGCAAAGAATCATTCTGTTGTATATAAGCGTGTGTCTGCGTTCCAAATGGAATCTATGATCTATTGTACAGACGATGATGAAAGAGTACTTGAGTATAATTCATGTATTTTATTTTTCGCTTGTTAAAATGTTACCGTTGGCTAAATTCTGTACTATTTATTCTGGATGACAATGAAAACAACAACAACAAAAACAACAATGACAAGAGTCAGATGGAATTGAATTAACTAACCTGAAGCTATACATGTACATAGGATGTTGATTATTGATCATTATAATTTAAACAGATTTTTTTTGCAGACATTAAATAAATAAAAAATACATTTTTTCTTGGCCATTTGGCCCACATATCTGTGTGTGTGTGTGTGTGTGTGTGGTCTTGAGGTCATAACATTTGGTCAATCATCATCAGCTAGTGGTTGAAAGTATATTTATCTGTCCAAAACGTTTTCACACAACCCGATTTTTTTATAGATAAATATAACGCTTCCACAGGTATAAGATGGTATTCAGGTCGTTGAATCGTTTCTGTGTTTTTTCTCTGTGGCATAATTGATTGAAGAAAAAAAAATTTTTTCAATTTGAATGACTTGATCGTTTTGTAGGATGTCGATTGTTGATGGTTAAACACACACAACAAGATAAACGAACATGGAAACCACCATTGTCTTTCTGCGTATGGTTTCGTGAAAATTTTTTTTAAAAAAAATAAAGGTGTCAACAACAAATCGGATCATTCAAACTCTCATTCATTCTATGGTTCTGGTGTTGTTGAATGTGACATATCAGTAAGTCTGTTATGTTATAGTATGTTTGAAAGACACAAGGACCATAGGACCAAATTATTTCCAGTTTTGTTATTGTTGTTGTTGGATCCTTTTTTCGATGATATTGAGACCCGAATGAACAGTATTCGTTGGTTGCTGTTGTTGTTGTTGTTGTTATTGTTATTGGTTGAATGGTGATGACAGATGTGTATATAACCTTGTGAAAGAAAGGCAATGATGATGATGATGATGATGATCAAGTGGTCAAGGTTCATATATAAGCTCGTGTTTTTCTTTTTTCTATTCTTCTTTTTCGCTTGCAATGTTGTTGTTGTTGTTGTTCGTTGGCTTCAAGTGGATCTAATATTTTTTCGGGTTTTTTCTGCAAATTCATTCATTTAATTCGGGTATTTCAATTCTATTTTCTTTTTCAAACTTCATTGTTTTGTTTTGATATAGTGCAACACATACACACAGACACAGAGTCTATATATGCTCCCAGATGATTTTCAAGTGCCCGGATTTCATGAGACGTGAGATTCGTATTCGAAAAACATTTTTTTTTTGAAAAAAATGGAAAATTAATAAAGAGGGCTGTGGTGGTTCAAGAGCACAAGGACCTTACTTTATTATTATTGTTATATATGATGATGATTGAAGATGGATAGGCAACCGAGAAAATAAAATGTGAATCAAAATATATCACAATATCGATTGATCTGTATTGAATTTTTGGTTGGATCAAATAGAGAAAACAAATCTTCAAGTGTCATTCTTACACAGACATATTGAATCATATCTTCATTGGGGTAGAGATAACCAACGAATATCGGATGATGATGAGAACAATGAAAATGAAAAAAAAAGATAAATTGTTTACCACCACCGCCACTATGATGATGATGATGACTACCTAAATTTGAAAGGAAAAAATTCAAAAATCATTCATTCATTCATTTATTGTTTTTTGACATTGAGTATACTTATGTTTTTGGATCTCCAACATTTTTAGAGTGAAATGAAAATAATTAGGATTTTTTTTCATTTCTCTCAATGAAAGCTTTGGATCACATCACACACACACACACACACAGAACATTTAATCTTAATCAAAATCAAAATATTAGGACAGCAGCAACACAGAAATTTTCATTTTTTTGATTGAGAATTTTTAAATTGAATTTTTTTTCAATTTTCATTAAAAAAAATACTTGACCGAATGTTTGCTTACAGATAAAATGCACATACATCCGGGACATGATGGTTATTATGTTATTCATGAAAATAATTTAGAATTGATAAATCAGCAATTTTGTTGTTGTTGTTATTGTTGTATTCTATACAAAAAGCAAAAAAACCAAACAACAATTTGTCATCAGCAAAATTGTCAAAATCAAACGCAACAACAACAACAACAACAATTGATGATGATAGGTATATTAAAAACTCATCTATCAAACGCGTAAAAACTCTTTTTGATTTGTCAAAATAGATTTTGTGCATGTGTGTGTGTGTTTGTCACCACGAAATCGGGGGGCCACTTCAAGCCGATTATCAGATAATAATATAAAGAAATCAAATGCCATTTTGTCATCATGACGATGACGATGATGTCTTTGTCCCTCTCTATGGCTGGTTATTTGATTTAGGATTTCGCTCTATCGTACTTGATTATTAGTTTATTATGTACATTTTTTGCGCATAGAAAATGAATGAAAAAAAGTGTGTGTATTGAATGGAAAAAAATTCCTTTTTTCATATTTTTTAATTTGGAATAACGACGACGATTCATTTCTTTGTTGTGTTGAATCGTTTTTTCTGCTTACTGTTGCCAAAAAATACAAACACACACACGCCAACAACAATAATAACGAGAAGAAAAACAAACAAATTATCGGCCCAAAAGAATATAGTGTGGCATGGTAGGCAGGCAGGTATTTTTTTTTCTCTCTCTTTCTGTTTGTTTATGTTTTTGAAAAAGGTAGGAGAACCTATCTAATAATGTTTTTGCAAGTCAATTTGGCGTGAAATTTTTTTTTTCGGGAGAAGAAAGCAACGTCTATTATCTGTTGACAACAGCAGCAAAGAAAAAAAAGTGACAATCAAAAGAAAATGCCAAAAAGTTTTGTTGTTCCACATATCTGAGTATGGTCCAAATCATTTGTCATCGATCCAACTGCAATGCCAACACACAATGCACATACATCCTTTTTGATGATTTTTTTTTCGAACACCTGCAAAAAATGAAAACGAATTTTAAAATTTTTTCTTATTCACAATCAACAACAATAACAAAAACATTTGTTATTTTTCTGTCAATATCAAGACATATCTCTCGTATGCAGTAAATATGTAATCTCAGATATTTGTCAGTATAAGAGTTTATTCCAAGATTTTTTTTGTTAAATTCCACAAAAAAAATTGACAGAAGAATAAAATTTGATGCATACCAACCATCATCATCATCATCATCATTTGATGAATACAACATTGACAATTCCGAAAAAATGAAATGAAATGAAATTGAGCAATTTCAATGAAGAGATCAAGAGAAGGTGGAGTCAACACCAACAACAACAAACGAATGAAAAGATGTCCGATGTTTTATTGTTGACAGAACACTTAAAAAAAATTTTCATTTTTTTTTCATTCGATCATCATTGATGATGATGATTATTTACATTTTGAATTGAGCGCAAAAAACCGCAAAAATTTATCATCGTGTGTGGTGGTACGACTTATGCAAATGTAAATAAAAAAAATGCAAAACATAAAAATAACCAAAATTGACAGCTAAGAATAGGCCCATCATCAGATGATCTTTTCATCATAACCACAAAGAGTATATAGCGACGATAACGTAATTGAATTTCGATCATTTCTTTTCGTTTTTTTTTGATTCATATTGAATTATATAAGCTTTAGAGAGAGAGAGAGAGAGAGAGAGAAAGAGAACCTAAATCGTTGATATTTGACAATATCTTCACATATCATATCATCATCATCGATACTCAACACGAACGAAATATTCACACACAAAAATAATATCTGTGTGTGAATTGTGTATGTGTCATATAAATGGACAGTAAAGTAAATATATCTGAATGATGATGAAAAAAAAGATGCTAAGTGCCTTTTGTCCGTGTCTGTGTTGGTCAATAGTTTCAAGATCTGAATTGAATTCTTTTTTTTCACTTTTTTTTCGTTTTTGTTTATTCCTTTTGTTTCATCACATATAGAATGAGAAAATTCTAAATGACCATTTTCGCTTTATTTTCCACAGACTCGCACATCCGGAATGGTGATTATTTGCAAACGTTTGCAATTGACACTAAGAATTGTAATTGTAACCGAAAAAAGCAATGCATTCTAGATTCAATATGCGAGTGTGTGTGACTGTTGCCGAAACAAAAAAAAAATTCGGTGATTGGAGACCAGAAATCATCAGGATCAGAGAAAAATAATACATTTGTCAATGACAGAAAGCTAACAGAAGAAATCATCATCATTCTGTATATACTAGACCAGAATTTGTGATCGGACCAAACGAACCGTATATATCAATATTTGGGATTTGCAATATGATGGAACAACATTGTGTGTGGAACCCATTGGAAGCTTGTCCAATCCAAATGAATTCATTTACAATCGAAATTTGTCAGGTTTTTTTTCGTTGTTTTTGTTGGTTCTGTTGTTTCAAAATGCATTGTTTCAGCTCTATTTACTTTGCTATTAAATATCCAACATACACAGACAGGAATCATGAAACTAGAATTCTTTCTGATTCTGATATTGACCAACCAAAAAGCAAGCAACGGAGAAAGAGAAAAAAATTGATTTCGATTTCTACTCATATCCACAACAACAACAAGCGAGAGACCAAGCGAGGAAAAACAATCAATGAATCGATTCATTTCATTCTATTCTCTATTCATTGATGATTGAATTCGGTTGATTGGTTTTCCATCACCATCATCATCATCATCATTGATTGTTGATGAAATTTTTATTATTAATCCTCTTCAAATAAATATAATCAATATAAAGCAGCAGAAGCAGACGTTGGTCTCGTTTTAGAAATGTTTTGTTTTTTCGATTATTTTATTTCAAATAAATAAATAATTTCCTTTCTTTGCTTTCCTTCCGGTCAATGATATTTTTGGTTTTTCAATTGAAAAAAAAATTTCCATAGTCAACATATGATAATCACCGAATCTTGAGAGATGAAAAAAATATTTTCATGTCATTTATGCCCTATAGGTGAATGAAAATTCAATTTAATGATGATATGAATTTAATTTGATTATTTTTGACTTTAAAATCTAATAATTTCATAGCTTTTAGAAAATTAGTCAAAAGTTTAGTTTATTCATTCAAAACAAAAATCTTTCTATTTGGAAAAACCAAAAAAAACCAATGTTTCTGTTTGAGATAAACAATGACAAAAGATTTTTTTTCTCTTTGCAGAAAAAACCCAAGAGCAACGTTTTTTTTCTGTTGTTACAAGGTTCCCACGTGCAACATTCGCGTACAACAGAGCCCTAGGTATATTATATTGGGACATAGAGAGACTTGGTTGGTTGGTTCATTATTATTATGTTTGAATGGCGATAAAAAATGAAATGAAAATTTCAGCTTTACCGAACCCGAACACCGATGGATGGATGGTTGGTTTGGTGATCATTGATATATAATCATCGTTACACAAACGTCGTTGTTGATTGTTATTGTGCAATGAAAAAAATGAAATCTTTAAAGAGAGAGAGAGAGGAAAATTTATTCAATGAATGAATAAATTCAAAGAATTCAAGTGGAAAAAAATTAGATAATAATTAACATAATTTTTATTTTCGCGAAAAAATGTAAAATTTTGGTTGAATAATTTTTTTGAATGAAAATAAAAATTCTCAGTCTCTCTGTGTAACAGGGTCAGTGTTTTTCAGCTTTTTTTCTCTTCTGGTGGTTTTTTCATTCACATCCATGAAAAACAGCATGTTGTATATGAAATAAAAAATCGATGATTATGATCCAATGGACACAACAAATTTGGAAACAATTTTTTTGAATCAAAAAAAAGAAACTTTCAATACAAAATGTACCACGACGAATAAAGAAAATGACGAGTATGTTTTTCCAGAACGACAAACACTGTTATTTTTTTATTTTTATTATCTAAATTGGAGCAATAGCTTGCTTGTGTGTGTGTGTGTGTATTTAGTGTATACAAACAAACAAACAAACCAACGTGTCACAAACTAAACATAATCTCAATTCATAATAAAAACAGATCCTGCGTTTTTCTAGGTTTGGATACTTGATTCTGCTTGATTGATTCTATGAATCAATGAATGAATGAGTCACTTACATGAGTTGCAAATTTTGCTTTCCATAAGATTTTTTTTGCATCAAAAATTCCAAGGACAGGATTTTTTTTTGATGCTTGATTTATACGGATGTTACCCAGGGACAAACATAAACACGCACGGTGTTTTGTTTCGGGTTTCGTTTTTTTTTCTCGACTTTTGTTTTTTACCATATATGTCGTGAATGTTATTGTGGTCATGTTTTTTTACGTTTGGTTAGCATTGAAAAAAAGACACCATAAAATATACGACGATTCAAACGAGGAGGTGTGTCAGTTGTTTGTTGATGTTTCGAAAAAATATTTCGTATATCATCAAGTAGCGAATTGAAAAACATTGTGTGATTGATCCATTGATGAGGCTAAAAACATGGGTCATATACACCAATTAGTGTAAATGAATAAATAAATGAATGAATGAATCAGCACATACAATACACACACACAACAGCAACCATAAACCTATTATAAAATCACATTTCGCCAATCGATCGATTGATTGATTCAAAATTGATATACAATACAAAATTCTTTTTTGTTGTTGTACAGAAAAAAAAATTCATTCGACCTACAAAAAAAAAATCAACAACAGAAATTATATATAGCATTATTATCATAATGATGAATGAATGAAAATTGAAAAGTAGGCTTTTTGCATTTCTCTCTGGCACACATTTCTTCTTCTTGTTCGTAAATAGCAATCGATATTTATGCGGTGAATTGGTGATATTTGGCAACAAAACAACGACGATAAGTGACCACATTATTGTTGTTGTTGTTGGCCAGAGTAGTAATCTTGTTAATAATGCCTAATAAATTTGACCGAATAAATAAAAAATGAAAAAGTTGCAATATTCATACGGACAAAAGAAAAAAAAGTAAAACGATCTTTGATAATGTTTGAAAACACGTAATATAAATTAGCACAACAACGATAACAACAACAAAACACCCAACAACAACAACAATAATAATAAGTAAATAAATAAATACCTGAGTCCTGTGTGTGTGTGTGTGTGTGCACGAGGTTTCGGTTTTTTTTGTATTTCAATATTTCACAACAACAATATATAATACATGTGACTGTTTAATTCAATTTTTATTCAATAAATTTATTTTTTTGCTCTTGAAAAAATGTTTCAATTACTAGAAAAAAAATGGGAAAAGAGAATAATGATAATTGACGGTTATTAATCCATAATAAAGGACAAAAAAAAACACACACACACAATAAACACACAAATAATTTAAAGAAAATTTTCGTTTGCTAAATGCTGGCTAAATAATAATAACTGACGGTTCGATTGTAGATTTTATACAGGTAGGTTATATTTTCAAAAAAAACATTATACAATGTTTCCGATGTTATGCCTAACCCTCTGAAAATTTGAAAGGTTAAAAAAGACATTATCTTATTCTACGTCGTTGGTCACCAATGTGAAGTTCGAAGTAAAAAATCATGATGATTATGATGATGAGCATCGGTTGACGATGGTTGATGATGATGAGGATGATGTGGATGTGTTGATGCAGATGATGGTGGTGGTGGTGGTCCAGTAGCAGATGCTGGATGCGGCGGCGGTGGTGGCCCTAACGAAAATCCATTTGTTGCCGAAAATGGATTAGATGCAAATGCTGATGCCATAGATGATGGATGATGCGGATGATGTGGATGATGAGGATGATGATGTGGATTGTTAGTCAAATGATGATAATGATGTGTATGGACATGTGGCGAACCAGTTACGACATTCTGTGCACCAAATAACATACTACTATGATGATGATGCATTTGACTGGGCGTTGGATATGTAGTAGCCACATAATCACGATTTGTATTGCCATCCATTTGATGACTGAATGAAAAAACAAGAAAAATGATAATGAATAAACAATGGAAATAAACAAATATTGAATTGAATTTGTAAAACTTACAGGATGGTCGGTTTGCTATCTTTGATGAGCACCGGAACTGCTACTTTACGTGGTGATGAAGATGATGATGATGTTGTTGTTGGTGTTGTTGTTGATTCAATACAATGGTATGGCGATGATGAAGTCAAATTTGTATTTACCAATGTTGTCGTACTGTTGTTGCTATCAAATTTACTGGCTGTCAAATGATGATTTACAGCATTCACATGATGATGATCATCATTATTATTCATTGATAATGATGGCGGCGATGATGATTGTATGGTATTTGGTGTCGTAGTGGGCGAACTTTCACTCATTGCTTTCTCTTTGGCCTGTCTTTTGCATTTATAACGATGATTCTATGGAGAATTCAATAATTAATAAGTCAATCAGTACTGTGCAATGAAAAATGCACATACCTGAAACCAAATTTTCACCTGTGTAGGTGTCAATTGAATCAATTGTGCTAAATGTTCACGTTCAGGAGCGGAAAGATAACGTTGTTGTTTGAATCTTCTTTCCAATTCATATACCTAGATAACAAAAATGATGATAATTTGACAAAATAAAATTAATTGGATTTCAATCCACAAAGAAAAAAACAAACAAACAATTTTAACAATCGATAATCAATTAAACAGTGTGTAGTGGCGCTGGTACTGAAAAAACAGATTTATGGAATTGAATAATGATGATGAAGAAGAATATAAAAGAAGTGGTCATGAATTGAATTGTTTTTATGTTTGTGTATGCTATGTCAACCCTGTCAACATTGTTTGTTTGTCATCATCATCAGAGAGAGAGAGAGAGAGAGAAAGAGGTCATTAAAGAAGATATAATACCTGTGCTTGGGTAAATAAAACACGACGTTTTCTTCGTTGCGTATGATGTACGGATGAAAAATGTGTTTGGACCAAACTATTATGATGCTTTGTTCCATGATTTGATCCAAGAATACAATTATTAGCGGCAGCTGCTGCTGCTGCTGCCGCTGCTGCTGTAACAACTTGTGATGTTGATGTCGTATATGCTGATGCTGGTGTTGGATAAGCGCTCCAAGTTGCTGCTGCTGTTGCCGTATTAGCATAGAATGGATCATAATATGAGCTTGGGAAAGTTGATCGGGACATTTCTGGAGCGTTCGAACCATATTGATGATGATGATGATGATGATGGGAATGAGGATGAGAAATTGTTGCGGTAGATGATGTTGATGATGGTGGTAATGGTGCTGGTGGTGGTGAAGAGGTAGATGGATCTATATTCATCATGGCTTGTTGATTTCATTCGATGGACACTCGACTGGAGAAGATTGTCGTTGTTGTTTAAAGACTTAGACGATGTTCAATAAAGCGAAGATCGTTCAAGATGATGATGATGGCAAATGGTCGTCGATATGAATGAATGAATGAATGATGATGGTCTTTTTGGATAAAAGGAAAGGAAAGGAAAGGTTATTGATGATGAGATGAAGATGGCTGAAGAAGTGCTTGCTTTAAACGAGAAACGTTGATCAAAATGGCCCTTATTCAAATTGATGCTTCTTGTCGTCGTTATCGTTCGTTTATTGTTGTTGAATTATATGTTCGATATATGATGAAACTCTCTTCTCTCTCTCTCTCTCTCTCTTTCTCTTATTTTTTTTTGTATTCGATATTCTTTTCCTGACCAATGCTCTTGAATGTTTGAGGGCTCTTCACTAAAATGAGATGATCATCCAACAAAACTCTTGGCTCACGACTTTAGTCGACGACCAAAGGAAAATTTGTTTTTTTTTCATTTTTTTCCACCACATAAATCTTACTTTTTTTTGCACATCCATTAAATATATCCAACACACATTCTGTTTTTCCAGTTTTTACATTCATTCGCTTGTTGAGCATACTCAATATGAGAATTCCCATGAAAAAAGCTGAAATTCAAATGATTAGGCCACACCTGATTTTGTGCCAACAAATTCAAATACAAAGATAACTTATACAACAAGGCAAATTGTGTAAACATTCAAAGCTCCGCCTATTCGTAGTTTTTCATTTCAATAACCATAGCCAATCATTGATGAAAGATTCGATGTTCGTAACAAGAAAAAAATCGACATGCCCACCAAACCAGAAAATGCACAAGGATAATGAATTGTGATTTTCGATTGCGCATCAATCAGATAGCTGATAAAAGTGTACGCATTTTTCTATATAAGGTATTCATTAAAAGATTGAAGGAAAAATGATGATGATGATGATGATAGTTCTGGGCTTTTTCTCCGCTGGTTTAATTAAAACTTTGAAAATGAAAAAACTTCAACAACAATAATAACTTGAGAATCATCGAAAAGAATTTTATTGATTCGTAAACAAATCTTCATCATCATTTATAATTACTAAAATCAACTTTAAGTTTAATGGTTTGATTTTCATTGGAATTTCTCTGTTGTTGTGATAAAGATGAATTCATTTTTGAATCATTGTCCATTGTATCATGAAGATTCGTGGTGGTGGTGGTAGTCTTTCTTCCTTGATGATGAATAGCTTTTTTCAGACAATCACTATATGTTGTATTACTGTTCATAATTTGTTTAAATTCATGTGGATATTTCGGTCCAATTTCTGTCAATTTTTTAATGAATGTTCATGTATCATAATCTTCTGTGCGTGTGATTGACTTAAAAGTCTTGGATTTGTTTGAAGTTCCGTTGATGATGATGGTGGATCAACATTCAATAATGAAATCAATGCTGGAATATAAATGTATAGCATATTGATTCCTAAAATATAGCAAGGTTAGATTAGTTTGTGATGTAGAATAAGTAAAACACTTACTTTTTTCATCATTGGCTTTGCTTACGAGAATTTCTAAACAGGCTAGAATATTAATCATTGATGTAATACGATTAGTTGAAAGTGATTGATTCATTCGAAATGATGCCGTTAATGAATAGTAAACATCAATTAATTCGGCGGCCAAATTATGAATGTAGAAATTGGATTGATTATTGTTTTGCATTGTAAACACTGATTTCAATGTTTCAATACATTTCAATTGTACCAATTCATTTTCTGATTTCAATGCTCTTGTCATTAAATTTATAATTGGATATTGTATCTGTGGATGAGACAGCACCTCTTCCGGTGAATGTATAATGAATACACCAATTGCTAATAATGTGGATATGAAATCCTGTTTCTGATCATCATTACCACCACCTATTTAAATTAGAACCCATTAAAAACAGAAGATTGAATGGATGAAAAGGATTAACATGAAAATTAGAAAAAACACTTGAAAAATGCTTGCTTACTTGTTTTAGAAAGATCCAAAATACGTGCAATAGCAGTTTGTAATAATTGAATCCACTTCAAACGAATCTCATCATTATCATTATGAGCCATCAACATTGGTGATGTGCATAAATTCTTAATACATTTGAGAAAAGTAATTATCGGTTGTTTTTCATACAATTTTTCATCATAAACAGTTTGACATACGACCGATAATTCACAGAATACACCAATGATTAGATAAAGAATCGTTGGTAATATTGCAACAGTATCGACTGGTTGGCAAACATTACATAAATCGCTTAGAATTTGCAATACATTCGCTATAATTCTAGCATTGTCATTGTTGAATAATTGAAAATAATTTGTTGATTTTTGACTACGAACAAAACAAAATTCCGGCGTTTTAGCCAACTGGGGACAAAGTTGTGGCAATTGTCGTACTAGAATGGCTAAACATATTTCCAATATTGAATAAACAATTGATTTATGTGCTTCAATACCGGTTACGGATGATAAGGATTTATTCGATTCATTTCCATCACGTTTCATTCGAATTTGTATATCGATCAATGATTTGATAATTTCTGTAATTACCAATTGACAACCAGAAACCTCGTGCGTCAATAAAAGACGATGTAATACTTGCGATAATTCCAATATTAATTGCGTATCTTTCGATAATATTGATTCTGTGACTTCATTATGTGTAATCAATTCTTTCAATGAATCAAGATATGTTGAAACATAAGCAACTTGTTCCGTGGATTTAGGATTACTTAATGATTCAATACAAACACCGAATAATAGATAGAACTGTTCGAATCTAGTCAAATTCAATGAAGTGTCATTTTCAAGTTGTTCAAAGCCTTTATCCGAACAACAAAGCCATAATGCAGCAGCATTTAAAATTGATGGCCATGATGCACGATACATTGGCCGTACAATATCGATTGTTTCAAGATTGAAAAATGTACTTCCATCTGGCGGTATTTGACTATAATATTCATCCGGTAATGTAAGCAATGCGTGATCTTTCAGCGCGAAAATCCAATATTTCGATAATGTTAATAATTGTGGCTGTACAAGATCTAATAAACTTTCACTATTAATCGTTACAGATGGTGATTTCATTTCTTCTTGTTGTTGTTGTTTGTTTCGTAACATGGCTACAACATAAACTTCAGCCCATGCTTTTAATATGGCCAATTTTTCCATTGTTGATGCACTTTCATTGTAGATTTTTGAATTGGAATGTTTATGCAATTTTTCCAATGATGAAACCAGAAGTTGATGTACACGACGTAAATCATTCAGATCACGAGCAACACCGCTACCGATCCAAGCACTACAAACTTGACATGCCATAGCTGTCACATGTGATGGTGTATCCACAGCGAATGCTGGACGTAATGCAGCACCAACCTGTGCTTGATATTGCTCCAAAATTACATGATTTTCAAATTCCGGTTCTGGAACATGAGCGAATTTATCGATAACTAATTCAAGTGTTTTCAAACCTTCCATACGTAATTGATCACAATCAGATGTAGCACCAATGAATGACATTCGAACTAAATCCGGTAAATGTAAACAAAGAAAATCTTGATCCTGATGTTTGAGACGTTTTTCTCTTGCCATATTCAAATCAAAATGAATCGCAGCATCATTCAGCGATTGACTACATGTGGAAATAATCTTGTACAAAATATTCATGATAAAAACTCGAGTTTGCCAACGATATGTTAGTTTAACATTCAATGAATCATTATGGTTAGATTTAAAACCACTTTCTTCAAAATCACCATCATCAGCATCATGGTCATTTTCATTCGAATCAATGGTGGATGAGCCAGCATCTGATGCACTTAAAACTTCTTTACACAATGTAATCCATAGATTGAGATTTTTTTCATCCACATGTTGTACAAGACAATTCAATATTTTCTTAATGTTATTCATATTTGATGAATTTGTTTCATAATCAAGCAATGCGACTAGAATGCCTGGAAATTGATGATTAGCTCGAAGATTAAAATTTGATATGATTCCAATCTTTTGTTGGGATTTATTTTGAGCGACCCATTCTGATCCATATTCAATCAATGCTTTGGAATCTTTCTGTGCAATCTGTTGAAAACAACAAATAGATGCTTTACGAAGTAGATACCGTGAACTAATAAATCCATCACATAGAATGAATATCAATTCATTCAATTCATAACAATTTCGATCAAACATATGAAGCTGTTGAAGACAAGCGATAGTTTCACTTTTGATGAGGAAATCACCATGTTCTTGTAGTATGGAACATGCAATCATTATCATCAATCGAATTTCATTAATTGAATGTGTGGATGATGTTTGAAATTCCGGTCCAATCGTTGTAATAATAGCTGAAAGACATTTGGCAATACTTTGATGTATATCAATCAATGATGGCGATAATGCCATCAAAATTTTTAAACATTGCGATAACGTTGGTTCAACATATGGTCGAAACATTGGTCCACCAGATTCAACAATCAATGTCAGTGCATGTAATGCCCATAACTGGACCGATGGTGATGAATGATCTTCGGCCAATGCCAACAAAAGACTAATGTTATTCTTGAGTTGTGGAACCGAACCCATTCCTACGACATAATGATGTATACAACCAATAGCTAATGAATAACCCGTTCTAGTCAATGCATCACGTGCGGTACGTAATTTTTCGAAACATTGTTGAGTAATAGTTGATAAAAATTTTGCATCATTAATCGTTTGTACACAACGTCCAAGACTTTCGGCTGCTGCATAACGAATCAATATGTTCTGATGATCCAATACATTAAATAGTTGTGCAACGACTAGTTTACGAACTTCATCGATTCCTAGATTGATTTTATTCTCCACCAATGTCTATTTAGAGATTAAAAGTTGGTGAAAAAAATTATTTAAAAACATTTCGAAAACATACTCTTAAAGCGCCAAGCATAGCCGTTAATATGTTGATTTGAATGGCTTCTTGTCGTGAGGATTTAGCATGTTTCAAACATTCTTGAAAATGATTCAACATTTGAACACGATGTTTTTGTGCCACATAAGGAAAAACCAAGGCAAAGACTTGTGCCGATTTATTGATAACAGCAACGGCCAATGGTGGTGATGCTGGTACCAATAATGGATCATTGGCCGATTTATACAATATGGTTGGATCATATTCAATTGAACCGACACCCGATGATAAATGATTTTGAATCTGCAAATTAGAAAAAAAAATTAGAATCACCAATCATATGAAAACAGAAAAATAAAAATTTAAAGATATTCTAAACTCTAAATGAAAAAATCAAGACAATAACAACAACAGGCCACACTCACAGAATCCTTTTCCAATTTCCTATTCGGTTCCATCTTTGATTCAGTATTGATAAATTGAAAATTTTAAAAAGAAAAAGTAAAAGGAAAGCCACCCTTAACCGAGATGAAATTTGTACGAAAAAAATCCTACCTGATCTTCTACCAAACTATGTTCAGTATCTTGAATCCATGAACCAAGTATAATATCAGCATTGGTTTGAATTAGATGACGAATCAATGAACTTGATGTGTTGACAACATTCTCTGTTAAAGTTAAATCGGAAACCAATAAACGAAGAAGATTTGCAAAACAATTTTCATAAAGTTGTGGTGGTAAACACAACAGGACTTGATATAACCGCAATCGAACCATTGTATAGCTGCCTTTGATTGCCGGTCCTAATGTTTTAAAGTGACTATTCAATGATACAAGCATTGCAATAGCTGATTCAACTGGTGTGAATAATCGTCGACGTATTTCATCGGTTACTAATTTTGAACAATAAGTTAAAAAACTGGACATTGCAGCCAATGCACCGGCACGATTTTCCAATGTTATCTGCCAAGTGAAAGCATCACCACGTGCTTTTTCTGAATCCAATTCTTTTGTATTACGTGGAAATGAATTCTTCCACAGTAATAATAAACGGGGAAGAAGATTTTTAATCTGACCCGGACCTAATGATAATACAGCGCCCATTAGTTGCCAACCAGCTTGTGTTCTTGGCATTGAAAGACGACTATTTTGTGATGCTGTTCGCAATAAATCTTCAGCAATGTTGAATACTAATTTCGTTTTGTTTTGTGGAATGCCTAACGGCGTATAACGAACTGTTCCAAACAATGCGGATAAAACATATGAATGACCATTTATTGATTCGGGACTTGTACGTAATGTTTCTAGCCTTTCTAGAGAACGTTCCATCAATGGTGTCAGTTGACTATTTACGGCTAAACATATACATCGTAGACACCATGCTGCTGATAATCGTACAATATGCGCTGGATGATTGATTACAAAACAGACATTATCGATCAAACTTAAATGTGTATCATTCAATATTGCCAAACATGAAGCACCTAATTGATTGATTAATGTACCAATTTCCAACAGACAAACGACCAGAATATGTTGAGCGGTTTGTAAATCAATTGAATTTCGTATAACAGAATTTTTTTCTATTTCAGCATTTGCTGAATCTTGAGATTTTGGATTCGTACTCATCACATGTCCAACACGTGAATATTGTGACATTATTTTCACCAGTTCTTTGATTGCCATAAATTGCCCCTTTTCCGTAATGTATGTACTGATGATCATTTTCAAAATGAATGTTATACATCTGCGACTGTGGATAGCATCTAAATGTGTGGAGACGGCTTTTGAATTGCTTAGGATTTCGAAGAAATGATTCAATAAAACCGGACTATTTCGTTCGATCCATTCATAGCCCATACGATTACCGAAATCTACATAGGAATGAATGACACCGATTCTGATTTCACGATTGGCCGTCGAACTACCTTTAATCATTTCGCCAGCTTTTAAGAATCCAATTCCACCTCGTAAAAATCCCGAAGCCAGGAGATTTAGTACTTCTTCAAGGGTAAAAATCTTCACCTTTGTCGAATTAGCCGATATTTGAAGTGATTGTAGACTTTGTCTAATCGAAGGCGTTTGTGTGATCGCTACAACCGTTCCAAGAGTTTGAGCTATAGCCAAACGAACCTCATAATTGGATCCATCCAATGCACGAAAACAAAGCGAGAAAACATTTTCAATTTCGGTTGTATACAAAAATGATGCTACTTCGATCAGTTTCTGCAGGCAACTAGCTGCATTAGCTCGAACTGACATGGATCTATCCAACATTCCATGTTTCAGGCTTTTATAGACATCACGATGTATCGAATTTCCAGCTGAACCTAATCCAGAAATGATCATCCGTAGTGTGGAATATATTTCGAATCTTGTTTGAGACTGTTGTCGAAAAAGTAAAAAAAGTAATTATAAGGTAAATTGAGAAATATTACTATTTACATCAACATTTTTCAGTAGTTTCAAAAGCGATTGAACTGTTTCTTCGTATGTTCGACCCATCAATCGTCCAAGATTTTCGTACATAATACCTATGCAAATTATTGAAGATAATTTTGAATTGGAAATTACTGCAGAATCATCTTTATTTTTTAGAGTCTCGATGAATTTATTGACCGTATCAAACAGTAAAAAAGTATCACCAACAGTGAATATCATTGCCAAACATTTTGCAATCAATCGTCGAGATGGATTGCCATTTTGACTAAACAATTGTTTTATCAGTTGATCGACTAAAGTCTTTTGAATATCTTTAATATCATCCTGTGAATGGTTGAAAATTAATACCGGATAAATCTGATTTGAATTTACAAACCTTTTCGGCTTTATGTAAAAGTTTCGACAAATGTCGCAACCAATCATAGACATAAATAATTTTCTTTTCACCATTCAATTTATGGAATTCGGTTTCGTTGAGCAGATAATCACTTTGAGAGGCCATTTTTTCGCTTTTTTAACAATTCACCATAAACGATAAGATTTTTAATTAATTCATTACAATTGGAATCGAATATTTTTTAAGATTTAATAAAAAAAGATTCTATTTTTGTCAACGCGTCAATTTGTCATTCCAGTAGGGTCAAAATAGCCATCGCTTTATTGTTTACCAAGAATCGGGTCAATTTGGCTACATTCAAATTGATTTATTTTGGAATTTATTCAATTATCTTGAGTGAAAATTGTTTTTTTTTTCATTCAACCAACAAAATGGCTCATTATAAAGGTGCAGCATCCGAAGGTGGTCGAGCACTTCAATTACAAAAACAACGTGAAAAAGCTTTGGAAGAATTGGAATTACGAAAGAAAAAAATTGAAGATGAATTGAAATTATCAAACATCAGGAATAAATTCGCTGCACATTATGATGCTATCGAACAGCAGATTAAATCATCGACAGTCGGTTTGGTCACACTGGGCGAGATGCGTGCCAAACAAGAAGGTCTGGTTAAAGAACGAGAACGACAATTGGCATTGAAAAAAGAATCGATGATTAAAAAAGAGATTGAATTACGGAATGAGCAGAAAGAAAAACAAAAGAAACAAATCAAAGCATTATCATTCCGACTTGATGAAGATGAAGAAGAAGAAGAAGAAGAAGAAGTGCAGAATGATGATGATGATGATGATGAATCCGAAACCGATAAAAACGAACCGAAATCCAATATTATCAATGATGATTCGAAATCAGATTTAGATTCATCGGATAGCATTAGCCAAGACTCATTCAACAATCATAATGATGAACCACAAATGAAAAAACGTAAAATGATGAAAAACCCAGATGTGGACACAAGTTTTTTGCCGGATAGAGCACGTGAAGAAGAAGAAAATCGTCTCCGAGAACAATTGCGTCAAGAATGGGCTGAAAAACAGGAAAAATTAAAAAATGAAGAAATCGAAATCACTTTCAGTTATTGGGATGGTTCCGGTCATCGACGATCAGTGATGATGAAAAAAGGCAATACAATGTATCAATTCTTACAGAAAGCCTTGGAATTACTGCGTAAAGAATTTCATGAACTAAAAACAGTTACCACCGATCAGCTGATGTATATAAAAGAAGATTTAATCATACCACATCATTATAGTTTCTATGATTTCATCGTGACTAAAGCACGTGGTAAAAGTGGACCATTATTTAGTTTTGACGTACATGAAGATGTACGGCTTGTGTCCGATGCGACCGTTGAACGTGATGAATCACATGCTGGTAAAGTATTACTGCGTAGCTGGTATGAACGTAATAAACATATATTTCCAGCCAGCCGTTGGGAACCATATGATCCAAATCGAAATTATGATAAATATACTATTGGTGATCGTGTTAATAAAAAATAAAATTTGAATTTGAATTTGAATCAATCTGAATTTTTGTGTAAATTAAAATTTAAAAATCACCACCACCAGATGGCGCCATAATTGGCTTTTGAAAAATTGTTTTTCAATAAAAAAAAATTTGAAATTCAATCAACAAAAGTCAACTTTACAGTTTTTTTTTCTTTTGTTACAAAGAAACAAAGAATAAAACATTAATTTTATTATATTATTATTTAATAAATTGATTGATTGATTGATTTGATACTAACGACATCATTCAGTCTAAATTATTCATTAAATATTAATTTGTTTTGTCAATTTGATTATGAAAATGAAAATATCCATTTGGTGGAACAAGAATGTTATGATTCGATTCGATGTGTGTGTGTGTGTGTGTGTGTGTGTGTTTGTTTGTTTGTTTGCGTATGGGTGATATATTTGCACTAAATAGTAATATTCTTGTGAATCTCATTCATTCATTGATTCCAGTCGAATTTGATATTTCGTTTTTGCCTGGTGACAAATGAGGCTTGGTACAAAATAAAGACAGAGATAAAAGAATGTGGGAAAAAATGGGAAATCATTTTCTTGTTGTCGATTGAAGATTATTATTGGTTAGATAGTTGATTGGTTTTGATTTGTATTTAGCTAGGTAGCATGTATGTCCATAATATGTTGACCAGAACTATCATATAATGGTGATGGTTGATGTGTAATACCTGGATGATGATGATGATGGCCCATCATTGTATGTCCCATCATCATTGCAGCTGCAGTTGCCGCATGTGTATGGTGATGATGTCCCGATGATAATAGCATCTGTTGTTGTGTACGTAATTGTGCTTGATTAATGGCTGATGCAGAATATCCAGCCATCGCGTCCATCGTGGTGGTGGTGCCATCCGTACATCCTCCGTCTCCTTGTATGCCTAATAATAATAAACACCTAAGAATCAGATGAATTTAATAATAAATAGTAAAAGTTAATGATAATAAATACTTACCAGGTGTACGAAATTGTTGGCTACTGTCCATCAGATAACCCATATTTGGATCGGGACTATATGCTGAACCGGCTGATCCTAATGAACCACCAAGATCTACAAATACAATAACGAGAAAAACAAATTATCGTTATATACACGACACTATGAAAAATTCAAACAAACCTGCTCGATTTGATTGATCAATCATTGGTTGAACGATTCGTCTTCTGGCATTGATAAACCTGAGAGAAAGAGAGTGGAAAAAGAATGGAAAAAGGTGTTAAAATCTCACATCAATAATGACAATAATAACAATAACATTTTTTCGATGATACACACACACACAAGGTTTGCGTGTTCGATTGGAATGAAAATTTTTTCACAATAATCACTTATCATTATGGAAATTCTACATTAAAATCACACTACCAAACAACAACAACAACAACAGTCGACAATCGACTCATCATCGTCATGCAAAATGATTATCTATCATCATCATTATTATTATCCTGCGAATATCGTCGAATATTGTCGGATTTTCAAATGCTGAAATTTGAATCAAACAAACAAACAAACAAATTAGCTGTCAACAACAGCACTGAATGAATGAATGGACACACACAACACACACATTGAGAGAGAGAGAACAACAACAAAAGGTTCAAATTATGGTGGTTCATCATCTTCACACCAATAATTTTCTCTCGATCAAATTGTTGACTGCAATGGATGATCTATTCATCCAATCTATCTATCTGCTGTTAGGGTTCATGATTCGAATGGTACGATGAATTTGCATGTTTTATTTTCTCTTTTGCTCTATCCACACACACACACACAAACATTCCTAATGATCATTTCAAAAATGCATAACACACACACACAAAACATACGTGTTCAAAAAAACAAACAATGAAACACTAATTAATGATCCATAACCGTATGGTTCCATGTGTGATAAACACACACACACACACACATAAATAATTCTCGTCATCATTATATAACGGGAATTTTGTCATTTACAATTAGGTAAACAGGAAAAACAAAATTCGAAAAGAATTCATACAGACAGATAACGGTGTATTATGAATTTGCAAGAATAGAAAAAAAACATTTTCATTCATAACATTCGATTCAAAATAGAAACAAATTGATGATGAATGACCCCTGATGATGATGATAATGATGATAATCACCATTATCAAACATACACACACGAGCACCATCACCAAACCAAAAAAAAATAGATAGATTGCATGTTTTTTAGTTTCCCATGAATGAATTAGTAGTTGAAAAATCTTTCGTGCTGAATCTCATCATATTCTACAAATGTCATATATACTCTGATGATGATGATGATGATGATCATTGATAATGATTATTACATTCTTTTTCTGGTATATCTACCTTTTCATGAACCAGGAAAAAATAGATATTTTTGTCTGTAGAATGAAAAAAAAAATATTGCATGAGAGTTCAACCAAGTGTGCCCATTGCGAATCGAATTGTACACACGCACATCAGTGGATTGCAAACAAAACAGAACAGAAAAAAAATCTAAATCGAAAACAACACATCCACCACCACATTCAGATAATCACCTTTGAATGATTTTTATTCTGCGGTGGGTGAGGGGTAGAAAAAAAAAAATAGCAAATGGACCACCAGAAAAAAAATCTAATATGGTTCCAACAACAACAACAACGAATAAAAAAATCAAAATGAAACAGGACATCATGACATTCGAATCTAATAATAAAGAACAATTAAATTAAGATTAATGTGCGACGACGATTCTTGAGTCAATATTTGCTGTGAAATGAAAAACATTCTCTCTCATTCTCTGTCTATTGAAGATTAAAATCGGTCAACAACAACGACAGTGATTGACTTGGCTCTGGCTCTGAAGAGAAGAAAAAATCCAGCAGGTCATCATCATGATGTAATCGAAAATTAATTTGCAATAATAAAAAAAATGAACAGAATCGATCCAATGGCTAGTAATTACACATGGGTGTGTGTGTGTGTTTAGTATCACCAGAGAAGAGAACGAAAACGATCCAACAGGGACAACAGATGTTTAGTATATAAAAAAAGTAAGTTGTGTTCTGGCTCTGATACCGAACCATTGGTGATCCATGATGATGATGATGATGATCATTTGATTGTTTCATAGGCGCGAAATCTGTATATTTTGCTTGAAAGTTGAAAATAAAAAACAAACAATCCAGAATGTCTCCTGATGTCGAATGATGAAGAATGAGTGAATGAATGAAAATGAAATTGTTTTTTCTCATTTTGCTTGGCGGTAGAGTATAGTATTCTAGTATTCTGTCATAAGATTCTACAAAATTGAAATCGATTCCATATTGGTGATATTTAATTGTCATTCGATTTGGAAAGCAACAACAACAACAACAACGACAACGACAAAAACGTTTTTCTTTATCTTCAATTCGTTTCATTCATTCATTTCTATTTCTATTTCTATTGCAAATGGCAGAAACTAATCTTTTTTTTCTGGGTAGATTTTTCGATTCTATTTTATTTCATTTTCCGATCCCGTCAAAATGTTGTTAAAACATATAATTAAATTGGACAGTCAAATTTCTCTCGATTCAAGAATCAGGAATCAGAGAATTCTGTCAGTGTTTTTTTTTCTTTTTTGTTTGAAAAAGTACACTATCACTATTGTCAGACAAAACACACACACACACATGAAAAAAGCAAAGTTATAATTAAAAGATTAGTTTAGTGACTAAACTTTACCAGTGAACACACAAGAGAAAATAGCTTTGTGTATATGTGTGTGTTTGTCTTGTTCGTTTTGATTTTTTCACTGATTTTCGTTCAAACAATTTTTCCATTTTGTTGATATATGACACTTGAATTTTTTATTATTAAATTCCAACCAAAAACTACATTGTCATCGAATGAAAATTTTTTCAATTTTAATTTTTCAAATTTGCATTTCAATCACTCACTATATAGTAGTGATGGTGGTGGGTTTTTCAAGAGTTCATCACTCATTCACTTCAGAATCGAATCTAATTCAGAGAAATAATTTGAAAAATATTCTTTTTCTGGTGACAATTATCATTCGAAAAAAATATCGATCCAAATTGATTAGAATTGACAAAAAAAAACACAGTGTTGACAACTGAGTGAAAATTTTTCAACGAAAGAAAAATAATGAGAAACGATTACCATAACCACCAAAAAAAAGAGACATAGTTCATTATTATGATGATTGGCAAAATTGTTCATTGTTCGATATATAATACTTTATGTCTGGTGCCAGAAAACAGAGACAGAACACAACAAAACAACAACAACAGAATCCCCAAAGTTCCTTCAAAACACACACACACACAGTGGGCTGTAGTTGATAGATCACGTGCCATGGTTTTTTTTCATCATCATCATTGGTTTCAAACACAGAATATTCAAAAAACCAACACGTGGCCAAATCTAAACTGTTTTCATTTAATGCTAAACAAACTTTAATTTGAATTTTTTTTTCTTTCTTTACAATTATATTTGCTTTGTGCAAAATAAAATAAAAAATAATGAGACAAACAAGATTGTGTGAGAACAAACGGACAAAATCATTATCAATTTGAGATCAATAGATCGATCGATGATGATGAAATTGATTAATGTTGAAATTGGAATTGACTAAACCATTCTATTAAGGGCAAATTTTTCTAGGTAACAAAAAAAATGACCATCCTTTCCACATTTCAAAATATCAGAGACTTGTCTCAAAGAAACTAAATTTTATTTTTCGTCTCGTTGTTGAAAATCGGCCAATTTTCAAAATTCAATAATAATCATCCACATCATCATAATAATCATGTTAATAATAATGATGATGATGATAAACGATATTTTGCATATATAGAGATATTAAAATGAAAATGGCCATGGGGAAAAAATCAGAAATTTTTTTGAAGACCTGTCAAAATCATTCATTCATACACACACACACTAATTTCATGTCTGTCAATCAAAAAGGGAAAAATTTTGTTATTTTCGACTGGAATCAGTAATTATTGATATTCAGGATGAAGAGAAGAGGAAAAAAATTACATTTTCTATCGATCCATGTATATGAATGAATAAAAAAAAAAAAAAAAAATTTCTGGACCTGTCATACACACACACACACACAAACAAGAGATTGGCCAGCGAACCTACTAGTAGTTTTCAGTTTTTTTTTACTTCTAGTAAAATGGATTTTCGAGATAAACAAAAAGTCACGTAGTGTGTGTGTGTGTGTATGTGTTTATTGATTGAAAAGATTCGTGCTTTACATACGGTTTTTTTCGTGGAATCTAATCATCATTCAGGTAAAAATTCAACAATTTTAATTGCTACTGATTGCTATTTACTGACACACGCACAAAAAACAGAATTTTTGCTGTTGTTTATCAAAAACAATATGCAAAGTTTTGAATGAATGGATTATCATCAAATAACCTTTCGCGTATACAAAGTCCATAGGTCACAAAAACGCACGAATATTATGAATGAATGAATCAAATTGAAACAAACTTACCAATTATTCACTTGCAATATTGTTAGACCAGTATCTTGAGCTAGTTGCTTTTTTTGATCTTCAGATGGATACGGATGCTGTGTGTGCAAACCAATGAAACGAAAGATAAACAATAACAACAACAAATCAATTAATCAATTTTGAAGATAATCAATTTTAAAACAAAATCATTACCGTTAAATGCTGAAATAGCCAAGCTCTCATTATATTCGTTGCTACTTTAGGAAATATGCCACGTTTTTTCTGCCGTTTTTTACTACGATCATCATCATCATCATCACCGGTACCATCACCCGATCCAATGCTAGCGTCGCCTAAAAAAGATCCTGTTTTTAACAACAAATCCAAATGAAATTAGTGAATATTGAGAAAAATGAACGAAATAAAAAAAATTGCTTGTATAAAGGCAAACTATCATCATCATAAAAATGACCATCGGTCAAATGAGGTGTGAACCATGTCTTTTTTCCATCATCATCACATTATGATTGTGTCACAATTGGCTAATATCATCATCATCATCATCATTATTATATGATCATTTTCAAGATCAACTGGGATCTTTCAAGTGTGTGTGCATGTATAGAGAGATCATTCACTTGAATTACAATTGTACGATAGCTACAAAAGCCGAATGACGAATATACAAGCAACTTTTTTTTTGTAGCAACTTGAACAACAATAACAATCCAGACACTTGTCAAATGACACTATACTACTACTAGACACACAAACATTATTATTACCGATTTAGAGAAAATCCAATTATTCCACTTGTTTTCCTCGGGATTTTTCTCTCTGTGTGTGTGTGTGTGTGTATTTTGTTTTCAATGTTTTTTTTCTCATTCATTCGCGTATTGATGTTAATTTGACGTGTACACGATGATTTTTCATTGAAATTTCATTTTTTTATAGTAACCCTTTTCAATGCCAATTGATTAATTTTTTTCAGAAAACGCGAAAATACGACTTTGAACTATGAACTTTTTTTTCATTTCCAATTTTTTTTATTTGTTTGAAGTTCAATATATCGATATATTGAAATCCATCCAATAGTTATTGTTGATTTTTGTTCCATCACACTCTTTTGAATTCTAAATATTAAAACATTGACTGACTGACTAACTGATCATATACACACACACACTGAATGTTTTCCCAATAGCACACATGGGAATTTGATGATTGAATGTGCGAGTGTTTCTGAAGCTGAAGGTAAGCTTTAATGCACATTGAACGAGAAAAAACAAAAACGAACATTCAACTACAGAATAATTGATGTTCGTTTGAAATTTGACAGGCTAAAACAGCAATATAATATATATCTTACACACGCACTATGGTGTGCAATAAGAATATGCAAAGAACAACAAACGATGAAAAATATTCCGGATAGGTCCATTCTATGGAATTTTTTTTTTTTGCTTGGTGTAATTCTCACCAACATATAATTCTAGTAGTGGTAGCAGGAAATTCTGCTGTTATGTGAGCGGCGTTAATAATATGTGGTTGTTGTATCGTACACAAGCAAAAAAAAGAGCAAACATTAAAAAGTATTACTGCCAGTCTATAGTAGTGGTGGATCCAAAAAAAAGGTCCCTTTTGGTTTTTGTTTTCTTGCTGTTTTTCGGGATTATAATTCCACATGACAATGATGCGAGCAAGCAAAAAAAAAAAAAACATGACGATGTGTCATGGGACATTTTATTCGTGTCTTTTGTTTTGTAATAGCGAGTAAAAGTATGTGCCAAGAGAATCCCTTGGAATCCAATGAGAGAAAAATAGAAAAACAAAAAAAAAAAATTTGGCGACGATTATTTCTGGGTAATAATGACCGAATAAAAAAAAACTGTCAATGAGTTTGAAGAATAAAGATTCACTCTTGGTGATTGTCTAATGGACCGTCATCATCATCACCAAATGATCATTGTAACAACAACAACAACAACAATTATGGCTTATCTTCTGTTAATGATCCACCAATTGACCATTTTCTACTGAAGATTACTTATTCCGGCCAAAAGGAAGAAAACGAAACTAATGAAATTTCAATATCTGATCAAAGATCAACGAAAGAAGATAAATTAGACAGATGGTAAAGAATGAATGAATGAATGCAAATTTGAACCATAAAAGTCTACTATATCACAAAGTTTGTAATCTGAAAAAAAATCTAGCTTCAATCATTTTGGACCAAAAAAAAAGAAAGTTTTTTTTCACACAACTTTTAAAAAGCCAACAGTTCAACCACACAAGTTCATTGTGTGAATGAATATTTTTTTTCTGGTGAAGATGAGACCCATTTTTTCTCTCTTTTCATTCATTTGTGTTTGACACACAGACACAAAACATACAATGTATTATTGTTTGCAGCAAAAGAAAAACAAAACAAAACACCATTTCATTTCATTTCATTTCAATGCACATACACACACACAATTCATCCATCCATCCATCTAGAAAGATAATAATGTAAAGATAGTGTGTGTCTAGTAGTTGGTGGTGAATATTTAAATATACCAGATAGATAGATCTATTGGATAGATATGAAACACGAATGTATTGCCTGTATGTTCGATTTGGATGAACACAAAACGACAAGAAATTCGGGCGTATCCATCCACATTGACACATCACAATCGCACATTGTTTTCTTGTGTGTTGTGTGTGAATACAGTATACCCATTTTTTTGAATTCTAACCAGAAAAAAAAACTTTTATCCAATACACATGGATTCAAGAAGAAAAACTCTATAGTGTAAGGGTGGTTGTTCTTTTTTTTCACCAAAAAAAATTGTCGTGGAGGTGACATGGTTCAAACCATCGTCAACATCATCATCATCATCCATAGCCAGCCAGATGGATGTATAGTCGATTTGATGTTACACACACACACACATACAATGAAAAAACCAAGTTTTAATAGTGAAAATGCCATGCGTTAATTGTGATTAATGTGACACTAATGCTTGAATCTTTTTTTTCCTTTCGAAAATTTCATTCATTCATTCATTCGTTTGTTCGTTCGTTTCTATTCGCCTATTCGCCCCCATCATCATCATGATCATCATAGTTCAAACATCATCACACTGGCTTCGTTATTTATTAAAATGCATAACTAACACACACACACACACTATTTTTTGGAGCTTTAATCTTTTGTGAAAAATTTTTAGTTGAGCACAGCATCGACACTAAAACCAGCCACCAACCAGCAGGCAAGAATATGAAGACTGTGTGTGGATGTGCCGTGTACACCACCATTGTATCATCAAACATTAAAAATGAAAACTTAAAAACAAAATAAACATAAAGATGTTGTTAGTGTGTGCGTTTGACTTTTGACGTTTATCAATTTCATTAGAAAATTTTCAAAATCGATACAAGAAACTAATTGATTGACAGTTAGCGATATCGATTTCAATATCAAATGATAATTTCTGCTCATTCATTATATTTCAAATTGGAATTGCAATTACAATGTGTGGCTCATGTGGTTTTTTTTTGTTTCGTTTCTGGATTAATAAACAAACGTCTGGTTGTCGTTAATCCTCGATAATTTTATATTTATCAAACAATATGGTTTATATATGGACAAGACGATTATTTTTGTTGACGTTTACCTTGAATACCACATACATACACACACACAAACACTAATCCAATGGACCAGAGAATTTTTTTCATTTTGAAAAAAATACACACACACAACACGCGAGTGGAAAAAATGAATTATTACATAGATCAACATTATTCTCTACACACATCCTGACCAATGCTATATATATGTACATTTGGCCATTTTATATTTAATCGAAAATTCAAGGGACAATCAGCCAAAATTCATGCATTCATGTGTGTGTGTGTGTGTTTGAATGTGTCTCTGGGATCTATTTGCAGAAAGAGAAGCAAATACAAACGCAAACACAAATCTAGAGCAAACAATATTCGTAACTAAAATGAGAATGGTGATTTGAAACAACAACAACAACAACAACTACTACGACAACAACAACGAAAACCAGTGATATCGCGAACAAGCCAGAAAAAAAAGTATAATCCTAAGGCAATTTGTCAATGTCAAAAAAAAGGAAAAATAGAAAATCTCTCCAAAAATACACACACATTTATCGTTTGTTGGTAGTAGAAAATATCGAAATCTACTATTTATTTGTTTGACTCATCGTCATTATCATCATCATCATCATCATCATCCGGATTCTACAACGTTTTCATTCGGGTGTTATTATTAATTCCAGAAAGATAATTATGATAATGGTGAATAGTGGTGGTTCAATTCCGAATGAACTGCAATGGATGCATTTAGGTGTGTGTGTGTGTGTTTGTATGTGATCAAATCAAGCGAAAATTGAACAATTCTTTCATTTTGAAATGAACAAAAAATCCTTTGATGGTCAAATGGTCAAAAAGTTGTTGTTGTCGTTGTTATTGAGTAATGGATTAGATGGTTGGAAGAATTTATTTTCTGGATTCTTGTTGTTTTGTGTGTTTGTAGAAAATATTTTCTGGAACAACAACAACGACAAGCTTATGTGTCTATGTTGTTTGAACAATCAACAATCACACACACACAGAGTAAACAATCGTTCAAAATGATCATCATTTAATGAAAAATCTCAAAAGTGAATCGAAATTAATTTTTTTTTTTGTTCTGTTTGAATAGTAAATTTTCACGATGATGAAAATCATCATCAAATGTGAAATTGATACTTTTGGCACACACGTACAATTCGGATAAGGCAATGTTTTTATTGCCTTGTTAATGGTCGATCATCATCAATATTAAAAGTCATGATGATGGTGTGTTTATGGACAAATTGTTTGAATGTGTGTGATCCGAATGGCCAAATATCACAAGAACATCAAAAAAAAATTACAAAATACTGGCACGGAAATGATGAAATTTGATAGATTTACACACACACACACACACACACACTCACATTATGAATGTTATGTTGTTGTTGTTGTTGTTTGTGTGTTTTGAAATTGAATTAGATCATTTTCGATCTTTATTAATATGTCCATCATCATTTTTAATGATGATCATAATCATTTCTCTGCACCAATCATTTATGGATGCATCACACACACACACACAGAAAGACACGAAAACTGAACAAATCAAAAGACGTGACGAGCATATTCTTCAGCAAAAAAAAACGAACGAAAAAAATGAATAAATTGATAGAGAGAATATTAAACAAACGAACATCATCATTAATCATCAATTAGAATAGGGGAAAAAAATTCCGGATTTTAAAAAAACCGATCGATAACCATGAAAATCCTCCGTGTTCAAGTAGTAGGAGGAGAAGTAGGTGGTTTTCCACCACCACCACCACAATTATAATTTAGAAAACAAAATTCGATTTTTTTTTGGAGGTGGTAAGAAGCAGAAACAACAACAATGATCATCATTTAAATCGGAAAAAAATAGAAAAACGAAATCTTTATCTTAATTCATCGTAGTTAACAAATTGAGAAACTAACTCATCATTAAAAATGATGATGATGACGATAATGATAATGATTACCTGTGCGTAAATGGCAATTGGTCATTCGCGGTAATTATACTTATAGTTATGGGTTCCGTTCAACTAATCATCATCATCATCATCATCATGATCATTTCAAGGAGCCTCACTCAATCTCTATTTCACAATCTGTCAATGTCAATGACAAATTTTAAATAAAATTTGTACAAAGAAAAGGCCAAAGGACCATAAAAAATTTTTGGTTTCAAAAGCAGAGGATGTTTGGTAGTAAAAAAAAATTTAATTTGACGATTGTAAATTTTTCGTTGGTTGGTTGGTTGGTCCCAAAAGAAGATCTCACTGTGTGTGTGTGTGTGCGTCTGGTTTATGAGTGCAAAAAATTTACATAAAAAACGTATAAATATTTTTGCAAATTAGTAGGATTCAAAAAGCCAGAAAAACCCAATAATTATTATTATTATTGGATACAATGAATGAAAAATAAATTGGACTTTCGATTTTTCACTGTATGTCTTTAAACGATCCATTTAAATGCCACGGATCAACCAAAACAACAATCGTCGTCATAAATATTTTTTTTTTTGGTTGTTGACCGAACCAATTTGTTGTTGTTGTTGAATGACCATTATTATTATCATCATCATCATGATCATCATAGTAATCATCATCATCATCATTGTTAAGTGTCCAGTTCGTTTTTTTTATTATTTTATGCAAATTTCTTTGTTGTTGTTGTTGTCGTGGAATACAACCTGACCAATTCTCTCATTCATCTGTCGTGGATTTTTTATTTTCATTCATTCATTATCATCATCTGATTTGGAAAACAAAACAAAACAAAACGAAACAAACATACACACACACACACAAACGATGAATGTGGACAATAAAAAGAAAAAAAAATTTAAATTTTATGAGCGCCTGGTCCACACAACAACTTGTGTCAAATTGAAAGAACAATTTTTTTTTTGTTCTCTCAAGAATTCTATTCACCATTTGATGTGATGAAACATTATCATCATCACTGAAATGGACAGTATTTTTTCGAATAAAAAAAAGGAGCTCGTTTGGCAATCATCAAATAAAAATGATAATAGAATCATTTTTGCCAGAGTGCACAAGTCGAAATTTGAAATATCCTGATCATCATGTCAAGCGTGCGAAATATATTAGAAAAGTGTAACCGTGTACAAAATCTACTTATCGACACCAGTTTTGAATCAAACAAAAAAAAAGCATACAATTGAAATCCAATAGGTTTGTTCATTCTTTTCTTTTATTTATCGATGATGATGATTATGATTATGAGTGAGTGAATGAGTGAATGAAGCACAACAACAACAACAATTGAAAATGACATCTGAAGCTTTTTATTTTTATACAGCAAAATAACCTCTTCAAAATTTGTCTCCCCCAAAAACGTATGTTTTGTATTTGGGGCGGAGAGAAGAGAGAGAGAGAGAGAGAGAGAACTAACACACTAAATTACTAATAAGTGATAATGCCCGTGAGACATTGGATTTTCGTTGGAAAAACATCTATTCGAAACTGAAATGAATGAATGTGTTACAGTAAAACTTCAATGCTTTAAAAGAATTAAAGTGATACCCATAGAATGGATAGAATTTAGAATACAACACACACACATCTGGCGAGAATTGGCAGTAAATCGTATAAAAGGCACAGACACAATAAACAAGTGAATATGTGATATGCGTGTATTGTGGAAAATGTGATTATAATCGAGTTTTAAACATAATGATGATGATGATGATGATAGTGTTGTGTTTTTATCTATGAAAGTTCATCTGATAATCATCATCATCATGAATGGTGAATTAGAAAAAAATAATTCAGATTCTCGTATTACCAAAACAAAAAACGAAGCCTAGAAGCAAAATCTGAAATCCACTACTATGATTGTCTGTCGACGACGATAATAATACACCAAAATGACAAAACCAGAATTTTTTTTTATTTTTCACGAATGAAATATGCACGTGCAATATTGTGTATGCTGGTTCGTGGAAAAACAAAAACAAAATGGCATATTGTTGTTGTTTTCCAACCAAACAACCAGCACCGCCACCACCTTCTAATGACACACGAAACGTTCGTTTCGGATTAAAGGATTATATTTTGAATGAAAATAAAAAATTTTCATTTCAAACTAAACTAAAATTTATAATCCCAATATATTCACAGATTCAGTGATTAGTAGTCATTAAAATTTGTAGCTATTGTTGTCGTTGCTGCTGGTGGTGGTGGTGGTGATGGAAAAATCTTTGAAAAAGGAAGACACACAACACAACAGTAGCAGCAGAATCAAAATTTAAATAACAAGAAACACACACACACACGAAAACATTGGAGATGTTTCTGGGTTCTTCTTGATGCTATAAAAGATGGAAAGATAAGATAAATGTGTGGTGTAATAATTTTCAAAGATGAAAATTCTTTCAACTTTCCACAAAAAGGTTGTTGATGTTTGTCAAATTTACACACACACACACACACACAGTGATAAAACCTCAATCATCGTCATCATTATCATTGGACATAACATATCATTTGGATTCTTGTTTGAAAATTCAGATTTTCAATTTCATTTCATTTGGTAATCTGTGATCGTGGTTAATAATGATCACCAGTGTGTTATGTAAATTGAAAAACGAAATTTTTCGAAATTTCTCAACCATTTTGGCCATAATAAAGATAAGATAAACGACGATAACGACAACAACTATAAAAAGAGAGATCATCATCGTTTTTGTGGTTGTTTGGCTGATTGACTTTTTTTCTTTTTTTTTTTTGAACAACAAAAATATCCATCTGAAGTTGACAATTTATTTTTATACAAAGAAAGAAAAATTGTCAAGTCATGTCTGTGCATGAATCGAATGGATGGCATGCACGCTTTTTCTGTCAACACTGATCATTGATCATCATCATGGATTGAAAAGTTCAAGGCCACCAATTTCGGATGATAAGCATGTGTTTGTGTGAATTATGAATTTGTCATACCGTTTCAATCAAAAATTGTGATAAATTAAAGGTGTAAAGCCTGGCAACTTGAACGAATGAAAGTGATGAACACAAATTGAACTACTGAAATCGGCAATTGAAAACTAACAATTATCATTTAATATGTGTGTGTGTATGGGAGAGAGAGAAAGTAGGATTCACCATAACCCTATCATTAAAAATGATTCAAATAACAATGCGAACCAAGAGAAAAAAAACGTGTTTAACACACAAACACTAAATGGCCATTTATTCGGATTAGTTTTTTTTCACAAATATCCGCCCACGTTTTGAATTGGTTTTAAATTTGATCAATCAAAAAAAGAAGACTGTAATGCTGGCCACACGCTTAACTCAATGATGATCATCATCATCATGAAGATGATTATATATCTCATCATTTCATTTCATTTCGTTTTGAATGTCAGTCCAGATTGGCTACTCGTTACTGGACTAAAATGCTGGGGGTTCACAATCATCTTGTTGTTGTTTTCATTCAATGGTGAATCGTTTAAATTGTATACACTTGAAAAGCAAATCTAACACACACAAACACACCTACAATTTAGTAATAAAAAGTACCCATCGGCCAAAATTGATCATGATGATCATCAATTGTTCGATGAAGGGATGCCTTGAAGCACTTCTTTTCATTTTTTTTTTTGTCTGATGATAGAATTGGATTGTGAAGAAGAAAAACAAAGAAAAAACACATACCCGCTTCGCTATTATTATCGGTTGATTGTTGTGAACTAGGTTGTTGTGATAATGGTCCAGGTGTTCCAGTCGATCCATTCGGTGATCGTACATCATCATGTATACCATGTCCATATGAATTAAGTGATTGTGATGGTGGCCGCTATATTTGGTGATTTTCAGTTTTTTTTGGTGAAAAAAAATAAAAAAGCAAAGAAGAAAATTAGCTTAAAGAATTTGAGAGAAAAAAAAAAACAGAAAAACAAATTGGAAATGTTCAAGTTTAAGTTGTTTTTTCAAAAATGTTAATGTTGAATCCAATGATTTTCAAGAAAAAAAAATTTCTTGTTTTTTTTACTGTCGACTTGATTTTTTTTTATTTTCGTTTATCGTTTTGGTGACATTTTGGTGTGTGGATCATAAAATTTTTTTTATCCGTTTTTTAATGATTCCAAAGAATCACATACACACACACACACAGCTGGTGTTTAGATCTATTTAAAATGATCAGATTTATTTCGTCTTAACATTCTAAAAATCTACCAATTAATTGATAGATTTTTTCATTCCAAAATAACCAAAAAAAAACAAACAAACAAACAAAAGGATTGACAAGAAATTTTGAAGGAAAAAAAACTCATCTAACAAGGCGTTAACACACACACACACACACACATGACATGGTGGAAAATAATTCATGTCATTTTTGTTGTTGTTGCAAGCATATACAAAAAAGAAAAGGGCGATAAAAAAAACCAAAACCTTAAACATTTTTTCCTCATCATCATCAAACATTTCCACTACACATCACTGAGAAAGAAGAAGAGAAAAAAGACTAATAAAATGGCCAGGTATGGTAAAAATGAATTGCCAACACACACACACAAACACATAAAGATAATGGTTGTGTGAATTTTTTTTCTTATTTTAGAGAAAATGAAATGAAATGAAATGAAACGAAAAAAACAGAACACCACCTAAAATAAAGATCTTGGTGATCGATTGGAGCAATGTTGTTGTTGTTGTTTTTAACGACTTTGATGATGATGATGATGATGATGAGATGTGAACAAGTTGTGACTACCCCAGTTACATCATTACCATCAAAATACAAATGGCAATGATAACGACCAAACGAATTATTTATTGGTGATGATTCGAGGGCCAGAAAAAAAAATTGGTAGATTCTAAAATTTGAAATTTTTTTTTTCTTCATTCGTTTGTCAATCATCATCATCTTCATCATCATCATGATATGAGTGTATGGATGAAATGGATTCGCCAGAATTTTGCCCAATGGCGAAATTCTGTCATATTTTTTTTCCTTGTTCTATGAATATTATAAATGACGTGTTTGATATATAATCTGATTATTCTCTGGTTCGAGGTTTTTTTTTGTGCTCGAGAAAATTTTTTTTCTTTCTTATATTTCATAGGATAATGTATCGATGAGAAAGAAAAAAAAGATCCGTAAACCAAAACGACTACAGTCAAAGAGTTTTGTGTACAAAAAAAAATGATGATGATGATGATCATGAAAATCAATAAAGACCACTACTGCTATACTAGTACTGCTACGTCATTCGCTTTCTATATATGGAACATTCACATGGATTCTATCTGGTATATCCGCTGTATGTTTCCAGTGTTGTCGTCGTTGTTCAAATTTTGAACCAGGAAAAAATACACAGCACACACAAGTTTTGGAGAACAAAAAAAAGTGTTTTTTCTGAACCTATAAATGATGTATACAACACAACAGCATACATACACCCAAACAGTACAATAATAATAATAATAATAATGACAGCTCATATATTATACAACCATATCAGCATCATCATCATCATCATCATTGTACACATTGTGTGTGTGTGCTCCGTTTTTTCATCTATTCAACTTTCTGGGTTCCAGAAGAACGAAACGAAACGAAACGAAAAAAATGTGAAAATAAATTGAATGAACCAAAAATGAAATGAAATGAACACGCTTGAAAAAGCACGCGCTGCTGCTGCTGCTGCTGCCGATGCTTTGTTGTTCAATTCACAATTGCATATATTCAACAACAACAACGACTATGACGACGAATAAAAACGGACATTCACAATATAGAGAGAAGACCAACCAAAACATAACACAAGGATATAGACATTTTTCATGTTTGGTCGCCCGAATATCAGCGAGAATGAAATTCTCTCGATGTCAGTATCATGTGTGTGTGTGTGTGTTTGTTGTAGATATATTCAGTGCCTCTCAATATTTTTTTTTTTTTTTTTTTTTTTTTGTTAAAATTCAACTTTTGGTCCGATATATCGCGTTGGCTGGATGGATGGCTGATTTCTCTTTCTCTCTATTGGTTTTCATTTGGAGTTGTCTATAAGGAATAATAATATTGCACAAACACACACACACACAGGACATTCAGTTGACAGTTTCTAATTTTGAATCCCAAAAAAAACTGAATGTGAATTGAATATATGAACAGAGTATGTACTAATAAAAAAAATTGCAAATTCAAAAATCAAATTCTAAATGATGACTACTGCTGCTGGGATGGATATAATAAAGATTCATAACTCTTTTTTTAGATCCAAAAATCCAAATGAAAAGCTAATAATCGTCTGGGTGTGTGTGACAGCAAAACAAAAAATTTGTAGTAATCAGACATGACATTGCCATTTTCTTTTTTTTTTTGTTTTGCTTTGAACCTTGCCCTCAGATTTTTCGTGTGTGTTGGTTGTATCAATAAAATATTTGATGAACACCAAAAAAAACATCATGTCATACACATACACACACACGGACACAGACAGACAGACATACAGTATTGATACACACAAGATCCAAAATGGGTCCTTAATGTATTGGATACAAGAACATTAGGTTTTTGCTTGTTTTGTGCTTACTACAACAACAACAACAACAACAACAACAACAACAACAGGATATCAATAACATACATATGACATGTCAACGACAATGAATTGCGCTAAAGCCAGGACACAAGCAAATTGGATTTGAAAACAAAAACAACAACAACAACAACAACATTAACCGAATAATGTAAAATCCATTGACTTTTACTATCAACCAAGAAATATATACGAATATATCGTACTTGTGCATCATCCATCCAATGTCCGGATGAATCGGAAACAACAAAAACAACAACAACATTTTCGGACAACGAATTTTGATACCATCATGAAATGAATTCTTTGGAGAGAAGAAAAAAAATTGAATTATTCGGCGAAATCCAAAAAAAAAAAAATTGGCTGGCTCTTTTTTCTTCTTTGAGAAAAAAAAACACAAGAAAAGACCCATATATAAATAATGAGAAAAAAAATTCATTCAAGCGAACCATGAATATATGTATGTTATGATTAGTTCAGCGGAATTTTCTTTTTGCATTCATTTCATTTTTAGAAACAAAGTTCAGAATTCAAAATTCATTCATTCATTCATTCATTTTTCGTCACGGCTATGGAAATAACAATGAAGATGATGATTTAAATAAACATACACACACACTCATCTAGCTATAGGGATCAATTCAAAAATTGGATTTTTCTTTTTAAATTTTGGAACCCTAAAAATGTTGGTTTTTCTTTTTCTCTTAACTTTATAACTTTCAATTCATTAAACACTGAACCAAAAAAAAAAAAAAAAAAAAATTCAAAAATGTGAAATGAAATGAAATGAAATTCAGTTGAAAAGTCAGAAAAAATTCTCATTTTCATTTTCGTTTATTTTTTTTTTTTTGATTAAACGAAAAAGCATCAAAGAATCAAAGAAATACATGATCATGTATCGATACACAAACAGAGAGATAGAGATAGAGAAACATATCAATCGAAATCATGTTTAATTAAACCAAACAATCAAACATTCAAAAGCAAAACCAAATAGAATTAAATGAAGAAAATGGAATGAATTAATGTTAAGTGGTTACTACTTGCCATTGTGTGTGTGTGTGTGTGTGTATCTTCTTCCCAAAGCTGAATTGGATGGAAACTTTTCATTCATTTTACCAAATAACCAAACAACAAACAACCAACAACCACCACTCCCCAAATATAGCTGCTGCTAAACACAAAAACAAAATTACATTCTTTCTTTCTTTCTCTCTCTCTCTCACTCTCTGGAAGATATCACTTTTGACATGTCTTGCTTGCCTGCCAAAAAAAAAAAAAAATAAAATTAAAATTGCATAGCATCACCAACCAGATATTATTCTGCCATATATAAAACACACACACACACATAGACATTATCATTATCATCATCATCAGCTGCTTGTCAAATTTTCAGCCAAGAGAAACATCATTGAAATGAATAAAATATACTTGGCTGATATTGAAGATGATGATGAGACCACGTGTGCATTCTTCATTTTTGTTATTGTTATTGTCGCAATTTCAACAGAAAAAAAAATGTTTTCAATAAAAAGTGTGCATGCGTCACACACACATTTCAAAGAATGGAAAAGGAGTATTTTATGCACTAATTACTTTTTTTTAGTTCATTGTATGACTCTCATTCTTGAATATTGGTGTTCTATTTCGAGTTTTTTTTTGTTTTGTTTTTGTTTGAAAAGAAAAAAAAAGATTCTTTTCAGAGATTTTGGTTGGCATGATGATGATGATGATTGGAATAATTTGATCGGTTGCCCAGTAGACGAGCATTGAAAATATATTGACGATTCTTGAGTTTGGGATGAAAATTTTTAAATTTTCAATCTAGCCAAATAAATGAAAATGAAAATGTGTTTATGGCACGCAATCTCTCTGTGTGTGTGTGTCACTGACAGCCCCAAAGTATAAAAAATTGATTATGCGCATAATTTAGTGCTTGATAAATAGACATCAAAAAGAAAGAAATGGTGATTCTCGAGGATCTCATTGTGGAATTTATGTATGGCCAATCATCATCATGATCATTTATATACAGAATTTAAATTCAAATTTTAGAAACAAAAACCATCTTTGTGTGTGTGTGTGTGTGTGTGTGCGTCGATCGATTGATCGATCCTTTTTTCTCTGAAAGAATAATCAAATCATTCAAATTTCGTGATTTGACCATTATAATTACTGAATTTGTTACATAACCATAGGTGTGTCAAACACACAAATTGTTGTGTTCAACAAAACAAAATGAAAAAAA